GGGGTTCCGGTGGGGGGGGCCGTGGGCGGGGCTGGGGGTTGAAAGGCTCCAGTGGCTGACGGCAGGCGGGAGGGCTCATCCGACCTTAGCACCAGCCAGGTGGACAGGCTGGTGGACAGGGGCACAAGGGTCTAACAGCAGGACATGGGGCGGGACAGAGCGCTGCGCGGTGCCCCTGGCCGGGTGATAGCGTGGGCGAGGTCGCAGGGGGTGGGTGGGCCTAACTGGCTGGGGGGCGGTGCGCCCAGACCCTTCCCGGTCTTCTCTGCCCCGACATCCCAGGTTCTCCCAGCCCCTGCACCAGGAGATCGCTCTTCACAGACGCCTGCGCCACAAGAACATCGTGCGTTACCTGGGCTCAGCCAGCCAGGGCGGCTACCTGAAGATCTTCATGGAGGAAGTGCCTGGAGGTACCTGCCCACGTGGGTGGGAGTGAAACCGGAGGTGGAGGTGGTGCGAGGCATGGGCGTGGAGAGGCCCAGGGCCAGCAAAAACCAGCAGGCGGCAGCTCAGAGTGAGCCGTGGGGGATGAACTGGGCCACACAGTGCCCTGGGGGACGAGCTGGTGCCCATCAGGTTGGCCTCCTCTGCCCAGGCAGCCTGTCCTCCTTGCTGCGGTCAGTGTGGGGACCCCTGAAGGACAACGAGAGCACCATCAGTTTCTACACCCGTCAGATCCTGCAGGGGCTCAGCTACCTGCATGACCACCACATCATCCACCGTGACATCAAGGTAAGCCTGTGGCTGGCCCACCTGGCCAGCTGGGAGAGCGGGGAAGACAGGACAGGGGCTGGTGCCTAAGATTCAGTGGGTGGGCCCTTTGCAAAGAGTAGGGCACTCATCAGAGGAGGGGAAGGCCGGTTTTGAAGCCAAACCTCATAACCAGGTCCCAGCTCCCAGAGGGGCCTATGTATGGGATGGAGGAAGAGGTGGAGAGGGGCAGGGCAGGCCAAGACCCCCAGGAGACAGAGTCCAGGGCAATCTAGCACTGGAGCTGCTGCCCAGCCCAGCGCCCACTGAGCCCCTGCACCATCCGTGCTGGTCAGGGCGACAACGTGCTCATCAACACCTTCAGTGGGCTGCTCAAGATCTCTGACTTCGGCACCTCCAAACGGCTGGCAGGCATCACCCCCTGCACTGAGACGTTCACAGGTGACGTCAGCACTCTCAGGGCCTTTTAGGGGAGTTCTAGGCACAGAGTGGTCCTCGCAGGCCAGGCCAGGGTGGACAGGTGGGGTTGGGAGGGTGCTCGGGACCTAGTGGACTTGTTTAGCACCAGAGATGGGGCCCAGGAGTGTGTGCAGGCCAGGCAGGGCCAGGGTGGGTGTTTGGGCACCAAGTGGGTGATACAGTTGGGGGGATGACAACCCAGAGCCCTGCAGAAAGTCCACACATGTGATGGGCCTAGGTCTGTGGTAGAGCCTAGGGCAGGTGATGGGACTCAGGCCAGGCACATACTGGCCATGCGATGGCCTTGTGAGAAGCTTGGCCTGGGTGAGGCATCTTGTGACAGCTGCCTGGTGTCCCTGCTCCCTGTCCTAGGCACCCTGCAGTACATGGCTCCCGAGATCATCGACCAGGGCCCACAAGGGTACGGCAAGGCGGCTGATATCTGGTCCCTGGGCTGCACTGTGATCGAGATGGCCACCGGTCACCCACCCTTCCATGAGCTAGGGAGCCCTCAGGCTGCCATGTTTCAGGTAAGCCCCTCAGGGCCTGGCCTCTGGAGGTGAGGTGGGACAGACCTGGCCCCAAACACCTCTAGACTGCCCGTCTGCCCCTCGTGTCCCCCCAGGTGGGCATGTACAAGGTGCACCCGCCCATGCCCAGCCCTCTGTCTGCCGAGGCCCAAGCCTTCCTCCTCCGAACTTTTGAGCCAGACCCCCGCCTTCGAGCCAGTGCCCAAGCGCTGCTGGGGGACCCCTTCCTGCAGCCTGGGAAGAGGAGCCGCAGCCCTGGCTCCCTGCGCTGTGCCTCAGGACCCTCAGGTGCTGGGACTGGAGGGGTGCCACCCCGAGGCAGAGGAGGGGCTGAGAGGAGCCGGCTGACAGCCTCCTCCCTCCCTCAGATACTCCTTCAGCCAGTTCCACCCCTTCGGCTGACTTGACCACCCAGTCTCAGACATTCCCGTGCCCTCAGGCACCTTCTCAGCACCCGCCCAGCTCCCCGAAACGCTGCCTCAGTTACGAGGGCACCAGCCAGCTTCGGTGAGAACCTAGGGTCCAGGAGTGGGGTCCCGTCACTTGGTGTTGCCTTCGGCCTCCCCTAGAAAAGGCCTCCGTGGGGCCCTGGGCACCTCCATCTCTCTCTGAACGCCTGCCCGGTGTTCTGACTGGTCTGCCGTGCACCACAGTGTGGGGTTCAGCTGTGATCTCTGTGAAGCAGGTGCCAAAGCCAGAGTTGGGTTCACACCCTGTGACAGAGGTGGCTGGACGGTTGCTGCCCGCCGGCCATCACTGCTCCCCATTCTGCCGAGGGCGCCCGAGGAGCCCTTGTCGCCGGAGGACAGCTCTGGGCCCAGCCTGCTGCACCAGGAGAGCCAGCGCAGGGCCATGCTGGCCGCAGTGCTGGGGCAGGAGCTGCGGGCGCTGGCCGAGAAGCTGCGCCTGGAGGAGCAGGTGGGTGGCCCACCCCGGCGCCCCCTCGCGGCTGCGCATTGACAGGACTCTAGCGTCTCTCGACTCCCGGTGGGAACACACACCCGCTGCCCCTGTTCTTTCTCAGGGTTCCCGTCTGGGCACGGATCACGTGGAACAGCTACTGCGCTGCCTCAGGGCGCACATCCACACTCCCGACCGCCCGCAGCTGGTCCAGGACCTGCAGGCGCTGCAGGAGCAGCTGCGGATCCACGGTCTTGAGCCTGCACTTCTGCACAGGCCGCTCTTCGCCTTCCCGGACGCGGTGAGGGGTGTTTTCACAGTGGTGCTGCTCAGTAACGGGGCCTTGTGCCTGGGAACACGCGGGGATGTGCTATCCCAGGACCCTTGTCCCCTCCATGATGACCCGGCCGGCTGTGCGGGCCTGGCTTCCTAGATGCGCTCTTGGTCCCCGGCCCTCCCACCCCTGTCCACCTTCCATTGGAGGCTCAGCAGACTCGGCTGTGCCCACCCTCCCTCTCCAGGTGAAACAGATCCTCCGCAGGCGCCAGATCCGCCCACACTGGATGTTCGTGCTAGACTCGCTGCTCAGCCGCGCAGTACGGGCAGCACTGGCAGCGCTGGGCCCAGGCCGGGGTACTAGCGGATGTAAGGCCAGCCTGCGGGCGGGGGTGTGTCCGGTGGGAGGAGCCGCTGGGGGCGGGGG